AATGAAAACTTAAACCGAATGAGAAAAAAACAGAAAAAATGAATGAGTAAACTGAATATTAATTTATATATTGTATTTTTTTCCTGAAGATATTCTAATTTATAATATTTTTCTATGCATTTTGAAAATAAACTAATTAAAATAAAAATATAACATGCCATGGTCAAGTAGAAATAGCCCTATCGAGATAGATCATAAAAAATCGGGAGAAAATCAGGATTTTCCAACGAAAACAGGAAAAACATGACGCTTTCAAAAAATCAGGAAAAAGTAAGGAAAGTAGTATGGCTGCGAGGCCTGTAATATTTAAATAAATATACTATAGACATCTAATTAATCTTGAAAAATAATTCGATTCGTTATAATTCTCTTAATATTTCCTCATTCTGATGCGTTTCTTTTAACTTTTTCTTTTATTATTTTATGTAACTTTTTGCTATTTTGATTTTAGGGCATCGAAAAAAAATGTTGTCTATCATACGAATCTATATATCTCTCCTCTAGTAAGGACTAGAGATCTGAAAATTTATGGTAATATTCGTCTAGTTACAATGAATTAGACTTCCAATTTTGAGCGTTATCGGATTTGTATTAACGGAGAACGAGTATTTTTTCTGAGAAAGAAGAAGACTTTTGAATAACCCTTTATATCTCAATAGAAAAAAAACACACTGTTACATCACTACTGCTTGTCTGTGGCTGTAAAACGAAAACGAGATGCCTCTGCTGGTATTATGATGGTGCATCTGCTGTGTAAGAAAAATGTGCATGAATTGAGTCACAGAGTACCCGTGACTTTTTTTTCTGTTCCGTTGGAATGTTATCAAACTGCTGAGCCCTCATTGGGACTCATGCTGCAATTGTTGTCCTTGTCTCTAGATACAGTATTCGTTTTAAAGACGTTTACGTCTTGCTCAAGCTTCGTAGTGATTTTTCCGAATATAAAGGAAAATATAGGACAGTTTTTTCAGTAAAAAACGTTTTAAGAGGCTTGCCAAACATTACAGTAGTCGCTAGAGCATACACTGATTACACTCGAAGTTGTTAAATAGATTGAAAACGAATTTATGTTTCAATTACTGAAAAAAGAAATTAAAATGAAGTATTCAAGTGGTATGAAATTTTCAGCATATGTATAGACTGTAGTAGAGAGGCTGTGATAAAATTATTAGCTCTATAGCATGACTTTTTCTGGAGATCTTATTTGTAAATTATCACTTCTTAAGGAGAAAAAAGATATGAAAATTGCAATGCCACGACAAAACTCTCATTAATTCAAAAAAGTGTCATGTTCTGCATCTTGATATGCTCTTTCAAACAAAATAAACTAAATATATAGAATGAAGGTATACGGAGAATTTTAAGTTACGCAATCAAAACAGCATAAACAGAGGAAAGATGAAAAACATTTCTCATTTTATGCGAATATAGCATATTTTTCAAGCAGATGATAATAAAAATCCTCAAATTTTTTTTGCAAAAGACAAGATGGCGAATAAAAAAACTGATGTCATTGATGAAAGATCAGACCTCGGCCTATCTTCCTGTGGATCTATGGTAATATTCATTTTTTTAATGAGAAGTGACTGTTTTCTTGAGGAAGTCTCAAGGACCAGGAGAAGGTCAAATGAAGATCTTCAGTCCCGCTAATTACTTTCCAATCTAATGTAACGATTCAGAAAGTATGAAATGTTTATTACGCCATTGTCATTGAAGTTCGAAAGGAAGCAACATCGTGCAAATAAACGTGTTCGGCACAATGTAAAAAAGATAATTTCAATGGACAGCGAGAGATAAGTTTTGTTGATAGAAGTTTTAAAAAAAGTAAGCATGCGAAATATATGTAGTTGTCATCAGACAAAATAATCTCTAGACGATGCAAATATGGTGCTTCAAATGAAACATGATAAAACATTTTTTTTTCTACACAATAATACTCATTTCGCTTTCAAGTAAGATAGTAAATATGAATTGTTGAAACAGCGAACAAACGATATTGGGAGAGAATAAGTTTTTTTCTCTTTGTCTGTAGCCTTGAAGTGAAGCAGAAAAACAATAACTCTTGAATAGTTACAACAGAGATGACATAACAGTACGAGATACAGAGGTTTTCTTTTGTCATATTCGATTTTTGTGCATAAAAGCGCTTCACGTTATCAGGTGAGATCACTCAAATTGCTAACGAAAGACAAGAATATCAAAGTAAACCTACGAATACACATACATACATATAAAACGAAACATAAAATGGCATCGTTCATGTCATATACAAATAACGATGATAACAATTTGGAAACATATACCATCTTCTGCTTGGAAGCTTCCGTAAACTATGAAGAAAATCTGACGACTCAAAAACAATTACGAAGTATTATTAAACAAATGCGAACATTTGTCGATCCTGAAGAGGTTATGGCTTGTGTCCATTGTATTTCTCAAGGTGATCTTACAATCTTGATTGCACGTGGTCAACTGGGTCGCATTGTCATGCCCGAAATGCAGAAATTACAACAATTATTATCCATTTATACTTACGGCTTTAACAAAGAAGCGAATGAAGATTGGAGGCGGAAATTCAGCAATGTATGTATATATCTCTATTTTAAACTACGCCATGCTTTGTTAACTTATTGTAGATTAAACCTGTTTGCAATAAACTGGATGAACTAATTAGTGTAATCCGGATGGGTCAAAAATATCGAGTTCGAATTGAAGAACCGATGACAATAAATATTTTGGATCGGTCTTCAACAGACTTGAACGGGCAATTCCTGCATTCTCAATTGCTGATCGATGTCCTGATCCAAATGAAGTCGAACGAACAAGATAAACGTGAATTGATTGAATTATGCAAGAAAGAAAACAAGAACAATAAATCGCAAATGAAGCTGGTGAACGAATTCGACGTTGAATATCAATCTTTGAAAGCCGTTTGGTGGTTCACGCGTAAGTCATTTGTTTATCGCATGCTGAACAAGGCGCTATATTCACAAAACGTGGACATTTTGTTCCTTTTTCATACTGTTATTCGAGACATCTTCGAGCAGTTACGCACACATCAATGTCACGAATGTATTCAAGTGTATCGAGGACAAATGATATCAAAGAAGGACATGAAACAGTTGCATAAATCGAAAAAAAGTTTCATTTCAATGAATTCATTTTTATCAACAACAATGGACCGTCATTTTGCCTTAAGATTCCTCGAATACACCATTAGTTGTATAACTTCCCATGATCTAGTACCAGTATTATTCGAAATCAATGCTGATTCTCGCGTACTTCGAAGTACAGCCGATAACAATAGACCTTTTGCAAAAGTCGCCGGACTCAGTGACCATGAAAATGAATCAGAAGTACTTTTCATGCTCGGTTCGATCTTTCGCTTGAATCAGATTAGTCATAAACAATCATTAGGTGATGCAACAATATCGATCATTCAACTGACGTGGTGCAGTGATCATGACAACGGTCTCAAACCACTCTATGATGACATGAAGAAAAAATACGACGCGGAGGAAACAAATCTTCTCTCACTTGGTTATCTAGTATATAGATTGGGAAAATTTGATATGGCTGAAAAGTACTATCGTCGATTATTGAGCGAACTTCCATCGAATAAACTCTCTCTCAGTGCATTGTATCATAATCTCGGTATGGTTGCTAACATGAAAAGTGATTATGATATGAGTCTCGAATGGTATCAAAAATCACTTGAGGTTCTTGTAAGAACTCGACCATCCAATTATATACGAATTGGTATTACACATAACAGCATCGGTAATGTTCATCGAAATAAAGGTGATTATCATCGAGCACTCGAATCGTACAATCGAGCCGTATCACTCTTTAAACAAGCACATGATGAGAATCATCCAATTGTAGCTTCATTTTACAATAACATTGGTATCATCTACTACGAAGAGAAGAAGTATGTGAAAGCACTCGATTTCTATGAAAAGTCATTTGCTATTAGGAAGAAACACTTGCCAACGGATCATTCTGATTTGAGTGGGTCGTACAACAATATTGGTATTGTTCATGGATGTCTCGGTCATTATGATCTGGCATTGGAACATTACAATCGTTCACTTGAAATCAGTTTGAAGTCACTTCCTGATCAACATCCAGTGATTGCCATGATCTACAAGAACATAGGTCTTGTATATGAACACAAGGACGAGTTGGAACAAGCATTGACATGGTTACAGAAGACTTCGACAATCTACCAAGCTTTGTTACCAGCTAATCATACGAATGTGGTTAAGATAAATGATGATATTCAAAGAGTTGAAAACAAATTGAAGAAATGAGAAGGACATACAATAGCAAAGACAAAGACATCGTAATTTTCTGTTTTATTTACTATATTTGGTATCAGGGTGTGCTACCAAATGACATGTTCAGCATCATATGTTCATTCAAATTTATCTATTAAGTTTTCTTGATTTTGATTAACTTGATAATAGATTTTACATTTTTCTACTAGTGTTTGATGTTGATTTTCAGTTTTGTTAAGTTTTAATCATTTGATCGATTTTTCTTTTAGTTCAAAGACAAGTGTTTGTATTGTTGATTAGCAATACCATATTTTACTATTTTATTTTGGACGTATAGTTCTAGTTTTAGACATTATTATAATGGGATATTTATATCGACAATGTTTTGTATTTATTGAACACGATGGTAGTGTCCACAGATCATGATTTGTCAATGGTACTGGTAACAACGTTGAGTTACTGCAAGTTACGAGATTTAGTGATTTAGTATAATGTAAATCATTTCACTAGTTTACATAAAAACAAAAGAAATGTGTCAAAGCTATGTAAATAAATACAGTTGTAACGTATCTGCTATGTTTATTATCTCGTTATGTTGTGTTTATATTTATGTTCATAATCGACAATTTAACTAGATCATAGATAAGAACAAACAGAAATTTTTTATTTTGATTCTTCAAACTTTGTTTTAAGCAACTTAATTGAATAACGAAAAACAAAACGAGTCTATAATGTCAATTAATAATGAATATTGTTTGTTTGAAATACATTCTTAAATTGATGATACATTTGAACCTTTCATTTTCATTTGTATACAAAAAACTTGCAGACAGAGAAAACCAACTATTTTCTCATTATATAATAGACAGACTTTTCTTTTTGATCGATTGAAAACAGAAGAATTCTTTTTCGATTTTGTATTCGAATCATTCATATGAGGTCAACTCGTCAGATTCTGATCGTTAAACATTAATTCTATTGTCATCATTCTTCAATTTAATCAAATTTTCTCAATTGTAATAGATAAGAACATTTTCCTTTCAATTCTATGTAGGGCAAAAGTTGCAATCCTATCATGCTCAAAAAATCAATCGTCGTTTGAATGTTATATCACTTAAAATGAACTGAATCATGATGAACTCTTGACTAGATATTCCAAACAGACGATAAATAAATAAAAACGAAAGATTTTCATCAAGTACACAATATTATCAATCAATAAATTGTGCAATGAGTTCGACTCTGATTATTCTTTTGTCAAATAGAATTCATTAAATCGTTTATCGATGAAATTAAAACTTTTCATTTATGCTTTAGAGAATATTTCGAAAAGAAAGAAATCAAATCCAACGAATTTGATTCACAAAAATCAGGAATCTGACGTCGACCGCATTGAGTATAGATGAATAGTATGGATATTATTGATGATTTCGATCAGGCAATCGAAGAAATATTCGAATAGAAAAGTGAAAAAAAAAACAATGATAATAAAAACCAAATTACGTCAAGATCGATTCTAACCAAATACAATTAATATCGAATCGATCTTCAAAAATCAAATGTCATATCAATTTTTTTATTCTCGAAAGAATTTCTTTGATATGCAACAAATCGAAACAGAAATCCAAGTTATTATTTATGATTTCAATCGATCAATGATTGACATTACAATTCCTACTGTTGAATGGATCAAAATCATCAACGAAAATCTTCTCGACTCGAAGCGTTCTTGAAATCAAAAGTATTTTCATCGAGTTCTGAAAAAAAAAATCGTTGCACAAATTTTCAAAGGACAGCGACTAATTATTGTTGACTGGCCTAATCATCTAAAACTTGAAAAGAGAACACATATAAATGTCAATTGTTGACACTCTTCTGTTCTATTCGATTCAAAGATAAAGATTTTATTCAGAATCAAATTTCTCGTCTATCAGCTTAAACATCTACAATGCAGAACGAGTTAGTATACAAATTAGAACAAAAACAAAAGCGTCACATACGTTCTCTTTCCTATCATATCGTTTTTTCCTGTCATGTGCTCTTCTTCATGACATATGAAGTCTTTTCTTTTCTGTTCTTCTTCTTCTCACCTGGTTTTTTCCTTTCACCGTCATCACGCTTGTTGAAGTTTCCGTTTTGTATATATCATCATGCGAACTTTCACCATGTCTACCCTAATGTCTAGAGCGTAAGTAATTTCGCAAATAAACGCAATTTTTTAACCAACAAACCACAGTTGCTACCTGAATCATCAATGATCTTTCATGCAAGCATTTGTATTACACAAAGTGATCATCAAAAGTTATTTTCTCATTGATGTTGTGTGTTGAAAAAAGAGATGAGTGAAAATAATTGAGATTGAAATTAATTGAAGCAAAGTTGTTTTCAATCTGAAAATCGACTTATGGTTTTGATTTAATATTCGAAAATGTTTCTATCTCATTTATTTATTTACGACTTACAATTGTTTCCGTGAAGAAAAGATTTTTGCTTTCTATCACATCTTCAACGGAAACATGACTTTCAAGATAAAATAGTATAATTGCTTTTGATAGACTGTTTTGTCAAGTTTGACTCTATCAGAAAGTTTTGTTCGGATGCTAAAAGATTGAGAATTTTGTGCAGATTTTATTCGTACGTTGTTTTCAGGTTGTATATTTTGATGATTTGTTTCGATGAATGAAAATTATAAGTCGCTCTACTCTAGAAACATATTTCTTATCATGTATCAGCGAAATGGAAATTAGAATAATGGCTGAGTTTTAAAAAGGTGACGAGCTCTTGTTTACTTTTATCCGAAAATATATACTTCTGCATATTCTTGTTACATTTATTCCAATAGAAGTTTTCATTTATAAAATTTTTCATTGAATACATATCTGAATGAACAAAATTATAAGTTATTTGGCGATTTAGTCCCAATCATCATATTACTAATTATAAAATGTTTCTATATTCTTTCTAATCGAAACAAAATTGATTTAAATTTAAATATCACTATAGACTTCGTTTTATATATATTCAATTACAATACTGAGATAATTTTCGAATTTAATGTGTTTTATATTTGCATTGAATTTTTGGTAGTCGTCGATATTTTCTAGTCGAATTTATTTTATGTGTTTTTGTTGATTTTAATGTTTTTATTTTTTCTTCTTGATTACATGATAGATTATTAATTAGTGTCCATAGTTCTTCTTGTCTATTAATGAATATTTGGATTTCATCTATAAACAAATCATGTAAATCGACCAGTATTGTACTTTCTATTTCATCAATTACAGATTTGTATTGATGCAACTTGTTCAAAGTCTTTTCACATGCTAATGCTTCATTTTGCTTCTTCTCCAATAGTGACTCAATCATGTCCCAAGACGAGAGCAGTGAATGAATTTTTATTTTGTCTTCGTTGGGTATAAGATGATTTCGTTCATAAATTTGTATTTCTTTCATTAACTCAGCATATTGTCGTTCAAGTTTCGACTTCAATTCCCATATTTCTGATACTATGCTGTTGTGTATTGTAACTTGCACGACATCACTATTCAATATATTGTCTAGAATCGGTTTATATATTAGTTCATCATAATCATTGAATTTACGGCCATGTGCTTCTACTGACACTTGTTCCAATACTGAACTTAATAAATGTTTATACATATTTTGTAATATTTTTTGACGAGAAGGTTCGAGATTGTTATCCATATTGTACGACTTTTTACGGCAATCACAGAAAAATGAAGAATCTTTTTTCGATTTGGTGAATAGCACAAGTCCGTTGCAAAAGCAATTCCTGAAGGTCAAACACAAACGACGTTTGATACATAAATAATCGAAATCCCAAAAATGAAATGTACATTCATTGTTAAATACATTCAAATTCCAAAGTAAACTATTTTTGCTAGAAGGACTTTTATGGTTATTTATTGTGATCGATGTTTCTCGTATTTCTTTTTCTGTTCTCTGTTCAAGTCGATGTAGATATTTCAATAATGATGGACAAAGTGTAGCAAAACAATTCTGAGCAATTATGTATACGTGATAACGAAGATGTGTTTCAAATAGTTCGTGAGCACTAAGTATAAACATAATGAACCAATATATTTGATCAATCACTTTACGATTTTTAAAATCATATTTGTCTTTTGTTAGAGCAATGGCAAATCGAACAGACATATCTTGAATATCACATGGTCTGTAAACAAATTGATATGTACCTAATTTATTACCAAATTCAGCAGTCCAAAAGAAACTCGAATTAACTTCTTCAAGAGTTGGATCTCTTTCAGATTCGATGGCAAGAAAATCCAAAAGAGCAATAATAGCCAAAATATTATAATTTTTAGGTAGACTAGTAAATAGTTGTCGTACAGATTGAAATGAAATTGAATCAAGAACATACAGAAAATTCTTGTAGTTAATGTGAGAATCGAGTAAATAGTATCCATCATCGGCTTTGACTGAATCAAAATTAGTTTCAGCAGACACCAATGCAGTTAAATAGGGAATTTTCTCTATTTGGCATTCATTCAATGTCAAAAATTGACCTGAACTAAAACGAAATATTTTCGATGTTGTAGATGACTCACCAATATGATTCTTCATTAGATATTTATTTTCAAACTTCAATGAGAATAGTTGATTATTGTTGTAATCGTAAAGGAATATTTCAAGTTAACAAAGTGAATTTGAGAAAAAATGCAATGTCAATTGTATATTAGTTGCAATTTACAGTGCAATATGATTGTTTTCACTTCAATATGAATACGTAGCAAATGAGTGATCATGGCCGATATTTTCCTTGCAACATATATAGGAAGTATCTGAGTCGAGTTAATTTGCTTACTGTTTACATTTTTTTCGTTCTGATTACCTTGATTTTCAACTTACGTGATCGTAAGGTACTATTGCTCAGGGCTATACGAATATTAAGTATGGCGTACAATGATGCACTAGTTAATCGAAACGAAATGACTCTTCTAATTACATAGATATTATTTCGCTGCTTTAATTTTGTGTTTGATAATGAAATAACAAATACCTCACCTGTATATTAAAGAAACCTGTATCAAGGCGTATGATGAAAACGAACAGAAAAGTGAAGAAATACTTTCGTTCGGTGGTGTCGTTCTATGAATCATAAGGAGTCAGATTTACGAAACAGCATCTTGTTTTTGTCTACTGTGAGTATTTAGTGCAAGCCGTCTGCTGTAATCTAGTTTTCAGTTTTTTTTTAAATAAACATACATTTTTTGTTCGCAAAAATTGAACGACTGTTCTCTAGTCGATGGCACATTTGCCACGTCGAAAAAATGAAAAAGTTGCCCATAAGAGTTGTACCAAAGTTTAAAAATGAATAAAAACCTACATACAATAATGCATATTTTCCCATAAATTTCAAGTTTATCAACTACGCGAAATGTACTAAAGACTCAAGAAAATATTGGATGCACTATAAAGAATTTTTTAGGGATCACGTCGGTATTTCTTTCAATTGTGCTTTATTTTGATTCATAATCAAATGAGTTCATCTCTAACAAAGTATTTCGAAAGATCGAAAACTGAATAATTTGTATGCTAATCTTCACGGTTTGTACTACAAGAAAGGCTTTTTTTTACATTGATGTTGTCGAAAATCAAGATTACAACTTTATTTCGACTTTCTTATACTTTTGATTATTATTAAGGAGAAAACTCAAGCATGTTGTATACTTTCAACGAACAAATGATGATCTAAAGAAATAGTGACAAGCGTGCACAAGTTGAGATTGAGATTTTATCATGATTTCGGACAACAGTGATGAGAGAACTTGTGTGGCTAAAAGTTTAAACAATACTATTGAAAGTCACACTAGTGCACACTATTTATTATAAGGATCTCTTTAAAAGTTTGGTGCTCTCTAAAGAAACTAATAAGTTTCATATTGTCTGAAAAATTAACTGATACGATTGAAGTTAGTTGAATTGGTTTTGTATTGGAGAGCCGAGTTGCAGTGCGAGAACGCGTAGTGCCTCCCAAGGAGTTGTGATTCAGGCTCTTCTCTATGTACACCATGACACAAACGTTCCATCTGGGATCTCACAAAACGTAGAAGACCAGCATAGCCCGTATCCATACCTGTAAATCATAAAGGCTTGTTACAAGTTTAAAACTTCTTGGAATTTTTAACTACTCATCACAAGTGCTCTGTGAGGAGACTTGCAAGAGATTCAGGCTGGATCTTCACCCAATCTTGGTGAATCTGTAGAGAATCCTTGAAAATATCTACGGGATGTTCCATGAATCTATAGAAAATCCTGAAGGGTCTCTAGGATTTGTTAAGCGAGTGCTGACGGATGTGTAGAGAACCTTGCATCATGTCTAAGAATTCCCGCAGGAAGCCTAAAAACCACTATCACGTGTTTAGGAGATCCTGAACTAGGAGTGGTACTTTCACTATGTTATTAAAGTATTTTGAAAGGTAAAGTGTCACCCTTATCTTGGACTATGTTTTGAGGGTATGAGCTGTAAGGAGCAAATGTGGATGTGTGGATCTTTTATTGAACCACATTCATTCACAGTAACACCCATATCTAAAAACCAATTCTTTGTAATACACATCATTGATGAAACTAGGCCTGTTTTAGCGAATTCATATTTCAAACTAAAAATTAATAATACCATTCAGTGTTTGCATAAATAGTCAGTATTACAGTTATTGATTGAGAAAAGGGATCAGTCAGTTGATTGATAGATTATGGCAAGCTATGGAAGTAAGTAAGATTGAATAAAAAGCGATTCGAACATTTCTGAATACTGTTATAGTAATTACACGAGCCTTGATATCTAAGTATGCCAAAACTTAGTTATTAATAGTAGGTGAAGGTTTCTCAAATATAAAACTTTTATAGTCTAATCATGTTCACTGAATTGAGGAAGTTCGGGGCACAGTGCATGCCTAGTATGAATTGTGATATTTGAACTGAAAACTACTCGAAAATATTTTCACAAGATGAGATTTTTTGTAAATCTTTATTGATAATTTATTCATTTAATATTAATCATAAAAACCGACATTGAGAATCAATTCATATAAAGATTGTAAAGAATCAAAAAATAGGATTTCTGATCAAATACTTTTGAATGAAAACTAATTGGTTGAAAAAAATAAATTCTAAACAAAACAGGTCTACATATTTATTTTTCGAAATTTTTACATTCGGCATTCTCTCTTTTCTATCAAAGTTGAGATTAGGGATTTATAGTACCGATATTAACTGTTTACTTTGTTGTAAAGAGAAGTCTGTTTTTTATCTTCGACATTATTTACGAGAATCCATTCGTTGAATGTTGTCTTATCAAAATTTTTAGGACTTTTTTCATTCAAAATTCTTATTTTCAACATAAATTATTAGTCTAACCAAATGAATGCTTGTTGTATTGCCGAAGATTTTTCGCTTCGATAAAATTTGAGTGATTCAAAAAGAAAGAAGTTTATCGGATTCATTGGACACATCTTACCTGTCTCATAATGTAACACGACTTTTCATAGAATATTTTTAGCATTCATAATTATTATTGCATTTATTCGAACTGAAGTTCTCCAATCACTGTGAAAAACTGCAAACTCGACATAGTCAAAACTGAGTACATCGAAAGATAAAGACCGCCGGATTTTTCTTGGCGTACAAGTTGAACAATTCTTTATTTTTATGATATAAATCTAAAAAATAGATAAACTACTACGATAACTAGTGCACCGACTAATGTCCAAACACACCATCCTATTATTTTTGCCTGACAAATAACACGCTGCATATGAGTAGCATCATTGACATGTGGAAACGGAACTCCTACGGGTATATCCACTCCGAGAAATTTGCAAAGAGGAGACCATCCTTCTTTTACATTATAGATGAGTATTTCACCATCCTTATTTTCATTGATTATTCGATTATTGTATTGATCATGAAACAATGGTCCTATGTTGCCATATTTGTTTATCCATTTTTGCTCAATTTTACGACAAACAATTGATTGTAAATGCAAAAATCGAATGAGATATACAGCAAAATAGTATGAATTATCTTGAAAAATAGATGCAATGGTACTTTGAAAACTCTCAAACCATTTTTCACCATTATCTCTTACGGTGAGTATAATTTTTGCTTTCGGATAGATCTGGTAAATTTCTTTGTAAAAATCCGATGTTGGAGAATCAACTGTTGATCCATATCCTTTCATTAGTTCATAAAAATCGACTTGCTTTCCATCAAGTGCTCGAATAAACTGAACACTACGTTCAGGTTTGTCAAATAGTTCGACCATATGATGACAAGGACCGAAGCCGAGTAATTCAAGAGCAGCTTTTAATGATGATGTTCCCGTGCGTGGTAATCCCGCGCCAATCACTCGTACATAATCAGCATGATCAGAGTCCGTTTTTAGGCTATATATAATCGATCGTTTCAAGAATGCTTTCGCCATCAACTTTCTGAAAAGAAAATACATAAAAAAATGAATCATAAATATTCTGCATAATCCAATATTCAACTCTAATCGATAGAAACAACATCATTCACAATGCATTCGATTCATCAAAACAAAAGAGTAATCATTTTTAAATAGTCTTGCATACCGTCTTTAAAACCGATGAGAATTCAAGATCTAATAGAAACAGTATTGATGAAATATGATGTGAGTATTTGCCTAGACAGAAAAATAACGGTCGAATAAATCTATATCCGAGCAAACGCGAATGGTTTATCTATGAGGTCACATGTACCTCGCCGATTTCGTTTACCTTTCTTATGAAACAACAATTCAAAGCAACACGACATGAAAGAACAAAAATAAAAGCGATGTTTCTCTTATAATTTTGTGGGTGAATATGTTCGGATGAATAAGCCAGCCAATTCGGTTTGAGTATTCAATAGAGAGCGTCAGTCACTGATAGACATTATTTCTTTAATTCGAATATTTTTGATTTATTCAACATATGAATATCTACGTTCAGAACTTCTGTTATTTTATTCGAATGAGATAAGTATGATCTCAATAGGTTATTTTTGGCTTTATGAAATTACCTCAGTCAACTGGAAATTGATGTAGATTGAGGTAGATTATGAGTTGTCTAATTCGAGTTCGACTATAAATCAAAACTCAAACCACTTATTTTCACTTCGGAAATAAATGTGAGAAAATTTAACTGACAGCAGTCTATACCAATTGTTGAACAATATTTATCAGAATTATGCGTTATAATTTGGGTCAGGCTGTCCTATAAGGGAAGTATAAAAGCAGAAAAAAATGATTTGAATTATCATTTATAATTGAGAAACGACTATCTAGTGGCAGAAAATCAGAAAAAAAAATTATCTAAGGTGTAGTTTGAATGCACATCGTGACGTTGTCATAGAAATTCGTGTCTGAATATTTTGTATCTGTTCAATGAGCCTATAGTGTGACTCAGAATATAAACCTTAACAAGATCGCTTTTTACCTACGTAATTAACCTTGTATATCGACGTCTCGGTGTGAAGGAGCAAAGCATCTCCAAAAGAGCTGTGACCCAAACGAGTCCCCCGTCTTCACAGTATAATGGGATTATTTATGGCACGTTACTCTATATGTCAGTGAGGACTGTTAAAGATCTCGAAAATGTTTATTTCATCTAATGTCTGCTAGCGAATAGAAAAAAATTATTAGTCAATCAAAAGAACACCAAATTTATGCCACACTCTAATAATACATTTCACTTGTCTATCTCTCAAGATACTTTAGACGAATTTTACTATCTTTATGCGTCACTTTTTTGTGATCAGAGGGATTTTCCTCATTTTAATGGATTATAATTAGTTGTTTTTCGTTAAGACAGTTAATATAGATTAACACTTCTGAGTTTATTTGGTATTTCCCAATTTAAAACAAAAAAAGCAGATTGAAACGATTGCTGTTCGATTAGAAGTCAATTAAAATCGTATAACTTTCTTCAATTATAATCGAAAGTGCTGGAAAAATTCTTTTCTTTTGTATCTCACTATCAAATAGAGATACGAATCAAAACTATCCGAATATTTATTTGAGCAGCTTCAAAAAAGACAAAAATATAAAATATTTTATTTTTTATAACTAAATAATCTCAGTTTTTTCTCTGTGAAACATGCAAATACGCATCAAGCAAAAAAGAAATGTTGCTTTAAATGAAATGATTACTGTAATTAATGCAAGATCTTCTTAAAGTAAACATAAACAATTTGAATATCAAATGATAAATTGTCATGTATATTAGTAGTAATAAGAAAAGTTAAATATGAGTACTCCAACTAGTGGAGCATCTATGGGGTGACTAGAAAGGGCACCGCCCTTCCACCGTCAAGAAGGAAAACTCAATAATTATCTTGAGATTTTTATCGCTTTTCTAGCATATTATATAGCTCTAGGAATTCAGCTGGCAAGGCATGAATGCGCCTTTCAGCTGTAATAGAGTTTTACTTGAAAAAAAAATATTCCTGTTCGCAATAAAAGGGTGCGTATATGAATCATGATCTAATGTGCGAATTACCTTAATGCAAATCTTATATCTTTTAAGAGAAAGTTCACTGTTTGGTTAAAGTGGAACACTCATATACGTATATGTCAAACATCTTTAGAAAAAATATGTGTTTTAGTAGTTTCTTACTTGGAAAAACTCTCTTTATAGCAAATCATAAAAAGCTTAATAAGCGGCCGATACATACAACTTAGGAGAACTAAAGTTTTGCATGTAAGAGAGCTAAACTAAAACATACTTATTAATCTAAAATTGTTAGAAAGTCATATAAACCCTAACGAGGATTGAGTCCACAGTTGCACTTGTTTGATGATACCGGTCATTTATGATTTGATTGATCGACCTAAGTCACAAATAACACTCAAGCTCAATTAATAGTTGTACTGGGTAAAAGCTTACATAGACGACACAGTTCCTTTTTTTAAGTTTTTACCTATGCATCAGATAATATTTTGAAAATGTACCGATGAGGACGAAAAGAGTGCTCAGACTGGAGTCAATAAATATTGTAGAAAATACCTCAAATTCAAATGTTCAGGTTTGAAGCAAGTCTAGTTGTGGCATGTAAATGAGCTCACTGATGTAATGAAGTTTGTCACAAACAAAAATGAAATGAAAGCAATACTTCGAGTCAGTTTATAATACTTCGCGAGTTTCAGCAATGTCTCTCTGGTATGTTGTAGACATTTTTTATAAATGTTATGCGAAGTTTGAAATCATTCTGTATTATATCCTGAAACGTATTAAAATGACTCTCCAAATATTTCATATTTTCTGAATTTCTGTTTAAAAACTAAATTCTTCGATATGCATAGTATGTGTTGCAATCTTTGTTAGATCTCACTATAAAAATGATTCACTCCCACTTACCTTGTCTGTTTCGAACAAACTTTAGAAAGATCGCGCAATTTGGCGTATTTCTAGGAACGAAAACAATTATAAAAGCATGAAACAAATCATATTACACCCTCAAGCAAAAGTCTTCTTCTCTTATGTCTTTTTATACTACCATACTTTGCATCAAATTTATTATCGAGTAAAGATATGACATAAGAGTCTTATTTGTGTAGTATGTACACTAAAATGAAATAACACTTTTATGTCACATCTCTACTCAGTAATAAATTTAATATAATACAAAGTTTGACATCGTAAAAAGATAAAGAAGAGAAAGATTTTTGTTCGAGGGTATGGTAACCAGGCAGATCGTCGCATGGACAAAACGTTGCAAGGAAAAATCATCGCACGGGCAAAACCTCGCAACACATTTTCAAGTTAAAGAAAAGGCTGGTCAATATACCAAGCTAAAGGATCTAGTGTCATGTTCTAGAGAATGTGATCTTGATCATACTATTCGAATACGTGAGTCTGTGCGTCTGAGTATAGACTTCAGATGTGACTGAAGCTGTAGTCGTTGTTGTGAGTCGGGTGTGGGTGTAAGTGAGGGTGTGAGTGAGAGTAGCGATGTGGGTGTGAGTCTGAGTGTGAGTGAGAATATCGATGGGTATGGGTATATGATGAATGTGAATGTGGATGGTCATGTAGGTTTTAAGTTTGGAGGGAGGGAAGGGGGTATTACTGAAGACAGTTAGAAGCTTCCTAATTCTAACCCAAGTTCGTGTTGTCCTATTTCTGCATGCATATGAAGAGACCCACAACGACGAAAATAGCTTCAGTCACACCTGAACTCTATATACAGAAGCACACACTCATGTATTAGAATAGTATGATCAAGATCACATTCTCTAGAGCATGACACTAAATCGTTTAGCTTGGTATGTTGATCCACATTTTGTGTAACTTGAAAATGTGTTGCGACATTTTGTTTGTGCAACGTTTTGTCCTCGCAACGTTTTGTCCTCGCAACGTTTTGTCCTAGCGCCCAAGGGTATACATCTGACAAGGGAACCTATGTATAATTTTTTCATTTATTTAATTCCTAAGAAAGAGTTAAAGAACTGATTTTAAAATGAAGCGGCCAATATAAAATCAGAAGTTAGTATAGATTTGCTGTTTATTTATCTATTCGAAGCCTGATGGTCTAGAAATATGAGTGATCACTGTATAAAAATTGTCAACAAATTCTGATAGAAGGTTACATTTGAGATTCAATATCTCAACAAGGCTTAAAATGTGCATCTTTGCGCATCCACTGAACATAGATGATGACATGCTCTACTAAATAACAAATTAAAACTTGGATTGAAGTTTCAGAAAAATTTGAGCAAATAACTGCATTATTGATTAGTGGTTATCTTTTTAGTATACTGAGTGTAAGCTTTTGATTTCATTATTATTCAAAGAACTTCAAGTAGGCAAAATGGCCTGCAATACATAGCAAATACACGAAACTGTATAACTATGTAATAACTAATGATTATAAGTAGATCCTCAATTTAAAACATACATTTTACTTATACGGTCCTATTAATGATACTCACCTATTTTATGTACTTTGTGGTACCTACTGCTTAACAGACACTCACTATAAATCAGCCTCCAAAATACACTTCAATGCAGCACCATAGTAGTTTCAATTCTAGCTATGATATAGGTTCAAAACTCGAAAATCAATTTTGCCGCCTGATTGTCCAGTGTGGGGGAAGGGGTGCTAAGGGTTGTTACATCGCGATGCTGAAATAAAAGAGTAGTTACGCGAGCAAAAGGCTTTTTGAACAGTTGGATGTTTCATACATCATCCACATGCATCTCATTGTAATGCAAACTCTATTAGAGTTCAAACAGAACATCTACTGCTTTCACCAAAAAAAAAAACTTATCAAAACGACTACACATAATAGTATGTTCGATATCGGACTGAGTGCTTTGTCATTATTAGGCATTGAGAGAGAAATATGATTGCTAATTATGAAAAGATAATTGATGCTTTCTCAATTGAGCATAAGAACAATCAAATACTGTTGAAACGATTATT